TTGGGGGTTCCTCTTTAAAGGATTTTTCAAAGGGCTAATGGGTCTAAACTTGTCAAGTGGTCTCATGATGCTTATCTCTGGTGAGAGACACCATGTCTCCTCGTCTCTATTATCAGTCTTCCAGGTAATTCTGCAGAATAAACTTAACACAAGAAATTTACTGACCAGTTCTTCCCCAGGAGAGAAGCTTCCCTCTGGGAACATATCAGTCAAGACTGCCTACCCTGACCCCAAGGTGGGCCAAGTTACTGTTTGTTTGCTAAAGAATATGTTAGGAATCTTACTTCCTAACTTCCTGGCTTTTAAAATGGAATCTTAGTTTTAAGATGGAATCTTTCCTGTTCTTACTATACTGTTTATATCTGGGCTTTTTCATCATAGGAGATGATTCTTATCTCCTGTCCTGGTTACTAATTACTTGATAAGGGGCTGGAGGAAGAGAAAAAAACAGCATATAGGTTACGTTAAAGAATGAGCTGGGCCTTTTAGCAGGCTAAAGTAAATCTCAAAATGGAGTGATCTAATTGACACAATGAAGACATGGGTTGTGCTCATATACTTTTCTTTATCTGGGGAATATCTGGACATCCCAAGAAACTCTTGGCCTTTGGAGCTTCAACTGATTAACCCATTACCTCTGTGGGTCTGTGGGTAAAATTGTAGTATTTCCAGAATCTCTTGCCTGGCCTTAGTTCATTTCCATATCAATAGGTGTTTCCAAGGGGTGGAGAGAAGTAATTCATCTCCATATCAATAGGTGATTACCTGGGGGAGCAAGGGTATATCTGGACTGGAGAGGCTGGGTGGGGTCTGGTTTGCAGTTGGGGCATGAGAGATCTGGCAAGCAGAAGTGGACTGCTTGTAAGCAAGAAATAGGTTTCTCCCATTTTATTTCTCTCTTTGACTGATTTTTGTTTCAAAGGTAATTTGCCCTGGGATGGGAACATATTCCCCCCCCACCCGCCCCGCTGGAGTTACAAGGTCTTTTCCTGGCTCTCTAGTTTTATCTGGTTAACTCTTTGAGTCCCTTTTAGTGGACTTTGCTGGGGCTATTCACTCTCCACCCGCCTGCTCATATCAATTTTTCTGCCTAACACACTGATCAGTCAAATGAAACACTTAAAGAGACCTACAAGCTAGGTTTCATAACTGAGGGAGTATTGGTGACCTAGTTGGGATGATCACAGGCTATAATACACTGCAGCATTTTTTATTATTCATAGTCCCACTAAACAAAGACAAACATTCTAAAGTCATTTTAAAATAGAACTTCTATTTAACAATGACATTCTATTCAACTTGCAGCTTCTGTGTGGGCTAAAGTAAATGACCAAAATCTACATAAAAGTCTTAAATTCCTTGTTGAAATCCTTCTGACCTCTTCAAGTGTTTCCTAAAGAATGCTCTTGCCTACATCATAGCCCTGTGACCTGTACTTACTGTTTGGAGGTTTGAGTACTGACTTAACTAATCAGGGAAAACCAACTCTTGAGACTTCTTTAAAAATTATACTTAGAAAAAGAACCACGAGAGTGGTTCAATTCACCATTGAAACAGTTTTTCCTCAGTAGGTATCAGAAAAACTGTGATTATACAGCATAAGAAAGATTCATCTGTTGTCTGGTTAATATAACCAATATAATCAGCCAAAGGGAGCAAACCTGACATTCTTTCAGATACATTTACTGTTTTTGTTACTTAAGTGAATTATGCAGACCTAGTCTCTAAAACTAAAGACCAATTTTGCTGTATTGAAAGAGGTGCCGTGTTTAATCCAAAAGCATTAGAATAAGCTTTATTACACACCCACACAAATGCACAAAATCATACTTACATATAATTAAGGTATAAAGGGACTCTGGGACCTAGAGCAAAGTAATTTCTTACTTACAGAAAGTACTATTTTGCCGGTGTTATTATTTCCATCACTATTGTCTATCATTTGGAAATTTTCAGAGAAAAAAAAGTAAGGGCTATTCTTGACACCTTTATTTATTTATTTTTTCCCAGAGTATTCCTTCCACCATAGCAATTTAAATAAATTTCCTAGATAATGCTTAAATGAAAGATTTGATCTTTTGTAGTCCACTGAATTTGTGATGCATATAGTGGGAAGAGTAGTAATCTTATAAAGCTGACTCCTCTGCACTGTATCTGACTCAGCAGACTTTTACCAGTTGCTGAGCCAAAGAAAGCCCAGTTGGATGTATTGGCAGCAATGAGAAGTCAGAGAATTGTTTCTTGACCTAAACAACTACATATGGATGTGTCCCTGGGGAAGCCTATCCTTGAATTCAGCTGCTGTAAGGAATTGCCTGGAGGGAGCAGTGCTCTGGAGGAGGCGCTGAGCTCAGCTGGGAATGGTGTCAGCAGGATGAACTGATGCCTTTTTGGGATAGTTAACCTGAGGTTTTGAGACTTTATTTAAATTCCCTTTGTAATGTTAAAGAGCTCATGATTCGGAGCCCTGGGGCCCGAGGTCTCTGTGGTTTTGATTACTTCTCATCCCTCGTCCCTCGGGCAGGGCAGCCTGAGAGTGCCCTGCTGGTCCTTGGCAGGAGTCAGGCCCGGTTGCCCAGGCCAGTGCCTGCATTCCTTTCCTGTCAGATGGGAAAAGGAGTTCAGTCGTGCTATGTACTCTTTCATCTCAAGATTGTTCCAAGCAAGGTGCTGATTTTCACTTAAACTCAGAAGTTAGTATCAATAAAAACATCTCTCCAAAGCAACATTGGAATGAATACGTAACTTTCTGTTGACTTCATAATAATATTTCTGCTAATTCTTCTGGCCCATAGCCCAAGAAAATTAAGAAATCAAACATTTTCCTTATGACATAGACATGTTCTTTTCTGGTAGTTTTCTCTAGACCATCATCTCACTTGCTGATAATTGGATTTATTTACAGTGAGCCTTTTTGAATGGGATCATGTTTCATTTATTAGCTTCTATCTTTAAAATCTCCCTACATCTATTGATGAAGGGAGATTATATCTGTTATTAGATTAGGAGTGGGAGGATGATTTATATGAGGTTTGGATGCTTTTAAACCAGGAGAAAAAAAAATCTTTCATTTGTACTGACATTTTCTACAGTATTCTTTAATTTTGTTTGTTTTGTTTTTACCACCACACCTTTCAACACATAACAAATCATGAGTTTTGGAATCATATCAACCTGGGTTTAGATACTGGCCCTGTCACTAAATGTACACACACACACACTCCATTCCCATAGCTGTATTTCTCAATCAGTAGCAGTTGTGTCTCTTTGGAGACTTTTGCAAGTGTGTGGAAATGTTTCAGATCATCATCATGACAGAGGAGCATTTCTGACATTTAATAAGTAGGTGGGGCCAGCAATGCTAAATATCCTGAAATCTGTGGGACAGTCCTGCACATTAAATACTTGCTCTAATATCAACAGCATGTTTGATAAACATTACTCCAGAGGAAACTCTAGAAAGAGAAGAGTATTATTAATGAATAATCTTTAACATATTTCCTATCAGTGGTTTCTCCAAAGTCCCTCACAAAGATGAGAGTTGACCCTGAAATGCTGTTTTTCTCTCTCTATTCCTAACCCCAAAATCTCTCTCTGACAGTCATAGGCTTTTGTCTCTCCTCCCTCCCCATGTGACTTAGTTATTTATTATCTTCAGTTTAGGCTTCAATTTAGCCTGTCTGGTTTCCTACATTTTCTCTGAATTTCCCTCTGTGAGACTTCTGGAGATAGCTTGGCAAGCAAGAACCTTTTACTCCTAAGAAGCTAGAAGGAAGAGGGGAGAATGACGTTTATTCCTATTCCATATGTGGAAGTGGCATAGTGGCTGCCACCAAGCCCTGCAGGTCTCAAGGAAAGTGAAAGAGACAGCTTGCCTCTCCTCTCAACACTTTCTGGGCACGTTCCACAGGGCAGGCAGGACACCAGTACTGAGGGCAACCACTTCCCGAAGCTGGCTTTGTAAGTAGACAGTTGGGTGTCATCAGGAATCTGTGCACTTGTTGTTCTTCTGAATCGGTGTATATATAATAATGACTGCATTTTCCACCTCGGTATTGTCTTTAACCCCACATGTAAATGTCCATGGTACATAGGTACATAAAATAATGTTCTCAATCTAGCATCTTTGATAAAAAAGTGACATATATTTATGAGATAAAATTTCTCTCTTAATGTGAATAAGACCATAAGAATTTTTACTGTATAAAAAAAAAGTCAATGATAGAAGAGATTATGTGAACATATAACATATTCTAATTGACAAAAACAATCTCTGCAATGGCATAGCTCAATACAGTACTCATGTGGGCCTCTGGACCTATACATTGACCAAATGTAATTTTGTGTTTCAAGAGAATTGCAAAAAGAAGCTTGTACCCTCATAATGATCTACCCTCACTGTATTCAACTACAAAGACAAATTATAACTTGAATCATAAATTATAACTTGAAGGAGGGCTTACATCATCTATATTAGGGCAAGTTCAAAATACACCACCCAAACATTCATATTGTCTGTTTAAAAACTTTGTAGCTCATAAATTCAATCTTAATAATCACATTTACATTTAGAAAAAAAATCTGTTCCCTGTATAGAGATGTAGAACATCCTAGCATAAGAAATGTCATAAACATACCACATTCTTATTTTATTTTTGTTCCCAATGCTTTCTTATAAAAATAGTTCAAATAGAAAGAGAATGAAAATGATATTCATGCAACAGAAAAATCCATGTGGAGTGAAGAAACTCTATTAAATATTGTAAAAACTCTTATTGCGTCTTAAGTTTTAAATTTATTGTTCCACCCAACAGTATTTCTGAGGTGGGGAAAACGTGCTTCTAGTTTACTAAAAACTTTACATTTTAACATTTAAGGGACTGCTTCTGAGAGTCTGTTTGGCTGTTGCTGTACTTGCACGGCTAATGTTTACCTGCAATTGGTTAGAGAAGAGCAACAGGAATCCTCTGTCGACAGACTGCTCACTACTGGCCTGTCAAGGATATTTGGTTCAGTACATTTGAAACCGTAAGTATTTTAAATTGTTCTTTTGGTGAGAGGGGAACTCTAGGCCATTTATTCTATACCTAGTCATCATGCTTTCACCAAGATTGCATTGCTAAAGAATACAGCATTAAATATTCTGTCATCATATTTCTTTGGCAGAACTTCTGCATGAAATGAGATAAGGGGACATTCATTCCATGATGGTGAGCTTATTTATAGTGTTTTGTTGGCATTCTATGATAATTCTATCATCTCCCTCATTAATGAGTCCAAAAGAGTAATGTGGTATTGGAGCCTCTTGACATTGTCAAATGGAAAATTATTTTAAAACCCTACTTATAAAAGGAAGGAGTATGGTACAGATAGATCAGATGAAGTACTTCTTCATCATCCTGTAAAGAGCCCTGTTTTAAGAATTGATACACTTGATTTTGAGGCCTGGTTTAAGCTTTGTGCAAGTCATTGAACTTTGCTAGTTTACTCATTTCTAAAATGGGGCTGGTGCATTCCTTTCTCACCAGCTTTAAAGGATATTTTGAACAGTATTTAGCAAACTTTTGTGCAGCACCCAGCCCCCACTCCTGGATAAAGTTAGTCACCTGCTCATTCTGTGGTGCCTTGAAAACCATTCTATTTTTCACTAGAATTTTAAAAGGGAGTTGTTTATTTACATGTCAATTATTGACTAATCTGTAAGACTGAGGTAAGGGGCCCAGGTCTTTTTCTTCTTTTTATCCCCAGCACCTGGCTCACACACAGAGGGCATTCAGAAAATTAATTCACAATTATTTAAAAATGAATACATAAAACATTTTCAAACAGTAAAGACTATATATTAATGATGCTCAAAATTAAATTTTTAAATCTCCTTGCCACCTTTTCTGATTGAATTGGGTTTTTCTTTTTGCCTCATTTCAGATTTTTTCTTTGAAATATGTTATAATATTGATGTAAATATTTGTCCATGCTGGACAGAAATCAAAGTGGTCTACTTAGCTAAATATTCCTTTTTTAACTGATGTCAACATACCTAGGAACTTAAAAAATCAATTTCTAATAGTGAGAGTATAGTAAAAGCACTGTAATGCTTTATGGTGTATATAAATATAAAACGAGTAAATTTTTTCTCTGGCAATTCATAAAGCATTTCAATATCATATTGTGCCTTTGGACCACAGAAAAGGAGGAAGGCAGGGAAGAAGAAAAATGAGAAAGAAAGGGGCAAGGAGAAACACTATTTTTTTTCCTAGCCCTACATATGCTGAGAGAAAATGTTTTCTCTTCAGTTTTACCAAAGAGATAACTAAGACTCTGGAAGACGAAGTATCTTGTTCAAGGTCACTTATCTGGTGGGTAGCAGAGCCATCCGAGTATGTCTAATCTATGTTCATTCCGGCGAATCATTTTATAGTAGTCCAAAAATGTAGTTACTTGGTACATGCTAATTTAAATTCTGCTGAAGAAATTGTTGCAATGAGTTGAAAACATGTATTCTCCCTATAACCATCTGTTTAAATAGTAAGTACTTGAGGAAAACCATGTGGTAGCCAAAACTTTCACTCTGCAGTGTGTTGGGTGGAACACACATCTTCATTCTGAACCTTATGAGGCTTTAGTAGCTTTAGTTGACGGAACAGATTTTGTTCTGTGGTTTTTCTGTTGCCCTTGGTGTCAAATTAAGGTAATAATTTCATGCCCTTGATTTTCAGGCCTATGTTTATGAGTCCAGTACAGTTTTGGGATTCATAATCAGTCAATTTCTTGGTCAATTGTATATGAAGTTGACAGGAAACTGTTTATATGGTATTTCCAATTGAACTGGGATAGTATTCTTTAAATCAGTTTCATTTGAAAGAAAAATTTACAGGCTGACAGATAGGGATTCATGGACTTCCCTTCCTTCCCACCAAATAATTATAAATATTGTTTTTGAAGAGCGGCATATCTTAATTTTCCAGTAAATTCCAACTCCTTCATAAGTTTCCTTGGAAGATACTAACAATTGAGAAAATGACCTCTGAAATGAATTCTCCCAAATATAGTGATTTTATTTTAATTAATACAATTTATAAATCCCAAACTGCCTTTTTACTGAGGAACTTTTCAGAAACTATATGTACAATTTCTTTCCTCTAGGAGGAATATCTAGGTAAAACATATTTCCAAGTTATGGTTTGTTATTAGATGTCATAGTAGTAGTAACACAGCTACTAACATATTCTGAATACCAACTTTGGGTATATTGACATAAGTATGGAACATTAAGCATGAACATGTGTACATATGCAGACACACACATCCACATGCAAACACACACACAACACCAAACAAAAAATCTCCCCTGTGAAATAAACTAATATCCTTATGATAAAATGCCAAACTAAGACTATAATTATGGTTGACATAGTTTTAAAAACCTTACTGAAAATCATACTATCATGTTATTATCAACTTTTATTTTTTACCAATATACCACTATATGCAAAATGTGCTGAACAACTTGGAAGATACAAAGTGTTATAATATCTGGTCTCCAACTTCAAGAGGCCTAAACCAAATACACATTCACATATAAAGCATATATACATCCACAAGTATAAATGTGTCACTTATAAATGTGTCACATAGTATGAATGAAGTCAGTATAAATGTGTTACAAAGTAATAAATAGTATAGGAATCAGAGAAGGGATAGAGAAATCCTTGTGATTTCAGATCGTAATTAAATCTTCATAGAGATGTAAGGTTCAAACTGGACGTTGAAGGGTATGTATATCTGGTATTCTAGGGCCCAGAAATAAGCCCTAGTGTGCCTTCCAGGATATCCAGCTCTCTAACAGTATCTTCAGAGGAACAAGGGAGGAAACACAGCTGTTTTTCTGAATAAAGTCGTCAGTGAAGTTGTTGAGGTCATATAAACCTTAGGTTGTTCGGTCAGTTAACTCTATATTTAATTATACAACTTTATCAGCAATTAGGTTATATTATGAATCAATGGATACTTACTTACCATTTTACAATGACTGAAATTTTGGGGTGGCATTTAGAGGCTACACAGACCTATAATATTTGGTCATTAGCCTCAAGGAGCATACCACATAGTTAGAAAGACCACACACACACACACACACACACATGCATAAAATAAAAGCCAGTGGAAAATACCAAATGATTGGTAAAACTAGCAAGTATTATGGGAACTCAGAAGAGAGAGTAAATGATCACTGGGGGCCTAGGCTTTACAGGAAAGTATGGCTGTCCCATAAACTGAAAGCTGAATACTGATACCTATTACACAATTTAAATGTGAACTGTTGTTTAAAACCAAAGGGAAAAAAATAATCCCAGGTGTATTTACTATCATTTGTAATGCGTATTAAATTCATGAGTTGTGTTTTATTCATGACTTTTTGGACTGTCATAGCCTTTAACAATAGACGATTTTTATTTACCTAAACATAATACATAATTATGGTAGGAATCCTGGAAAATATAAAGAAGTATATATATGATAAACTCAAGTATAGATAAAACATAATCCCACCAGAGATAAATATAATTAGCATATTCCCATATGTCTTTCTATGGCATTTTAATGTATGAATATTTTAATGTAGCCCTTATCTGAGTCTGTCTTGCACTTTTTGAATAGATTCTTCTATTAGAATGTCTGCTTCCTGAGTTCAGTAACTGGAAATTCATCTTTGTACTTTTATATTAAGGAAATCATTGTTTCTCCACATGTATGACAAGAAGTAGAAACTAGTGTCTGCTTTTCACAGTAGACCAGTAAATTCCTCCCTTTTAAATTTAAATTTTCTGGAAATTAGAGTTTTTGCCACTCACAACTTGTTTTCAAACTGAAATCTGAAGAATGCTTCTTACATGTATTTTATTGTAGTTAAAATGTCTTTTAGGTATGAATTCCCCTTCTTTGTTGTAAACATGAAGTGATTACGATTAAGATGCTTAAAGATGAAGTGATTTTTCTTGGTCATGGGTACATGATTTAAGTTTCTTTCCTATCCCTCCTCCCCAGACCACATACAAGATGTTCTTTTTAAGAATTTTTTAGGTTTCTGAGACACTGATTCATTCCCCATTCATTATGTGCTCTGGAGTAGGATGAAATTCTGAGAAATTGTTGACAGCTGACTTTTACGTAAGGAAGTCCTTAACCACATTAGTACAGAATGATCTCTTCTGGAACAAACATCTGTGGCTTTTTCCCCACATTATTGCTTCTCTGAAAGTTCATGGGAACTACTAGAGTGTTCCTTTAATCATACTGAAGAGTCACGAACAGGATTTTGAACATACAGAATTGGGTTTATGAATAATTGAGTATTTGTTCTGTTGTCTGTGAGTCAACATGTTTTATTTTTTAAGTTTAAGAGAAGGAAACAAACAAAAAAAATAGTGGCAAAGCACAAGAAACTGCTCAATGGTTTAAGCTTGCTAGATCTATTAATAGATGAACCTCATATCTATGCAAAGAAGCATGGTGTTAGGGCCATAATCATTTATTTCTTTAAATTTAATTCAAAAATATACTTGTAAACAGAATTTTTATTGAAAAAATAACATACGCATATAGCATCAAATTAAAAAAAAAGTCAAAAGAGCTTCTTCCTAGAGTCTATTAATTAGTGTATAATTATCAGAGGCTGTTTTTTTGTGTGAGTAAACTTCTAGGAATATTTTTGTATATATAAACATGTTTACTTTTTCCCATAGATGGAAATATAATGTTCACATTATTATGCAACATATATTTCTGTCTTCTATCTTTAAAAATTATCTTAATAGCATGTTTTAGAAATTATTCTATATCAGTGTGTGCCTATATGCATGTGTTGTATTCACTAGTATACACAGTTTCCTTATATAGATATACTACAATTTATTCCCCTGTGGAAGAATATCCAAGTTGTTTCTGGCATTTTAATATTTAAAACAATCTCCCAATGAATACTTTTGTACATCCTCATCTTCTCAGGTGTGTGAATAATAGCTGAAGGA